TCAAGCCACATGTCAACAAACTCTTTCCCTCGTCAGCACATTTTTGTGACAAATTTGACAAAATCATTTTATATTGCCATGCAAAATGTCAGATTTACCAGAGCAAAATCAAGCATTTTTTTATTGCAAATACCACAAAAAATCACACCAAAATCCTGGAGGAACTAATAACCAGAGATATTGTCCTCTGGAGGACAGTACAGTAATACTGCACTATAACACACCAAGGACTGACCAGGAACTAAAACCTCTGTGTTGCTTTTTCAACAGGAAGCCCTTAAGTCTGCTAATACAGATCGGTGTGTGTGTGTGTGTGTGTGTGTGTGTGTGTGTGTGTGTGTGTGTGTGTGTGTGTGTGTGTGTGTGTGTGTGTGTGTGTGTGTGTGTGTGTGTGTGTGTGTGTGTGTGTGTGTGTGAGTGTGAGTGTGTGTGTGTGTGTGTGTGTGTCAAATAAAATAAAATTGTATTGGTCGCGTACACATACAGTATTTTGAAGAACGTTGCAGCAAAATGCTTATGTTTCTAGCTCCAACAGTGCAGCATATCTAACAATACACCCAAATCCCCAAAGTAAAGAAATATCAGAACGAGCAATGTCAGAGTCCGGAATATCAATATATATATCTACAGTGGGGCAAAAAAGTATTTAGTCAGCCACCAATTGTGCAAGTTCTCCCCCTTAAAAAGATGAGAGAGGCCTGTAATTTTCATCATAGGTACACGTCAACTATGACAGACAAATTGAGAAAAAAAAATCCAGAAAATCCCATTGTAGGATTTTTAATGAATTTATTTGCAAATTATGGTGGAAAATAAGTATTTGGTCACCTACAAACAAGCAAGATTTCTGGCTCTCACAGACCTGTAACTTCTTATTTAAGAGGCTCCTCTGTCCTCCACTCGTTACCTGTATTAATGGCACCTGTTTGAACTTGTTATCAGTATAAAAGACACCTGTCCACAACCTCAAACAGTCACACTCCAAACTTCACAATGGCCAAGACCAAAGAGCTGTCAAAGGACACCAAAAACAAAATTGTAGACCTGCACCAGGCTGGGAAGACTGAATCTGCAATAGGTAAGCAGCTTGGTTTGAAGAAATCAACTGTGGGAGCAATTATTAGGAAATGGAAGACATACAAGACCACTGATAATCTCCCTCGATCTGGGGCTCCACGCAAGATCTCACCCCGTGGGGTCAAAATGATCACAAGAACGGTGAGCAAAAATCCCAGAACCACACGGGGGGACCTAGTGAATGACCTGCTGAGAGCTGGGACCAAAGTAACAAAGCCAACCATCAGTAACACACTACGCCGCCAGGGACTCAAATCCTGCAGTGCGAGACGTGTCCCCCTGCTTAAGCCAGTACATGTCCAGGCCCGTCTGAAGTGCATTTGGATGATCCAGAAGAGGATTGGGAGAATGTCATATGGTCAGATGAAACCAAAATATAACTTTCTGGTAAAAACTCAACTCGTCATGTTTGGAGGACAAAGAATGCTGAGTTGCATCCAAAGAACACCATACCTACTGTGAAGCATGGGGTTGGAAACATCATGCTTTGGGGCTGTTTTTCTGCAAAGGGACCAGGACGACTGATCCGTGTAAAGGAAAGAATGAATGGGGCCATGTATCGTGAGATTTTGAGTGAAACCCTCCTTCCATCAGCAAGGGCATTGAAGATGAAACGTGGCTGGGTCTTTCAGCATGACAATGATCCCAAACACACCGCCCGGGCAACGAAGGAGTGGTTTCGTAAGAAGCATTTCAAGGTCCTGGAGTGGCCTAGCCAGTCTCCAGATCTCAACCCCATAGAAAATCTTTAGAGGGAGTTGAAAGTCTGTGTTGCCCAGCGACAGCCCCAAAACATCACTGCTCTAGAGGAGATCTGCATGGAGGAATGGGCCAAAATACCAGCAACAGTGTGTGAAAACCTTGTGAAGACTTACAGAAAATGTTTGACCTGTGTCATTGCCAACAAAGGGTATATAACAAAGTATTGAGAAACTTTTGTTATTGACCAAATACTTATTTTCCACCATCATATGCCAATAAATTCATTAAAAATCCTACAATGTGATTTTCTGGAAAAAAAATTCTCATTTTGTCTGTCATAGTTGACGTGTACCTATGATGAAAATTACAGGCCTCTCTCATCTTTTTAAGTGGGAGAACTTGCACAATTGATGGCTGACTAAATACTTTTTTTCCCCACTGTATATAATGGTGTGTATAGACATTATGAACAGTATATGAATAGAAAGGTATATACAGCAGTAGTTATTTAGCATGAACCTTGACTAGAATACAGTATATACATATGATTTACTGTATTGCGCGTGCGGATGCATGCCTGTGTGCGACACAGACGCCCAGTTGTCTCGGAAATGCAACTATGGCAACGCACAGAAGCGACAGATGCTAAACGAGCATTTGTGGCAGTTGTGGTAGTAGTTGTGAGGCAGGCTGCTCTCCTTTCAACAGGGATAGATGGTGTATGGTCCTCTGGTGGTTTCCCTACTTACCTAACAGTGAGTGGGTGGTTTTATGTGAGCCCTGAGACTGGGGATGTGCGTCATGCATGCCTGCCAGCTTGACTACCTGGGACAGCAATGAGACGTTATGTAATCATAGAGGGAGGCTGATTTGTGTCGGGAAGGCTTTGATTGGACTCCCTATAACCCCTGTCATTCACACACACAGCTGTGAGGAAATGTGTATCTTGTTATATTTGCAGTAAGAGATGGACTGCTGTCATTCTGCAGAATAAGAAAGATGTAAGATGTTTGGAGGAAAATGCAAATAGAGCCTCCCTTAGTCCTCCCTCAGCAAAAAAAAGAACTCAGTTTGAATCTTATTTACAATGTTTGACATCCATACTTGAAATCCCGATCTAATAATATACAGTGGGGGAAAAAAGTATTTAGTCAGCCACCAATTGTGCAAGTTCTCCCACTTGAGAAGGCCTGTAGTTCTCCCACTCAAGGCCTGTAATTTTCATCATAGGTACACGTCAACTATGACAGACAAATTGAGATTTTTTTCCCCAGAAAATCACATTGTAGGATTTTTTATGAATTTATTTGCAAATTATGGTGGAAAATAAGTATTTGGTCACCTACAAACAAGCAAGATTTCTGGCTCACACAGACCTGTAACTTCTTCTTTAAGAGGCTCCTCTGTCCTCCACTCGTTACCTGTATTAATGGCACCTGTTTGAACTTGTTATCAGTATAAAAGACACCTGTCCACAACCTCAAACAGTCACACTCCAAACTCCACTATGGCCAAGACCAAAGAGCTGTCAAAGGACACCAGGAACAAAATTGTAGACCTGCACCAGGCTGGGAAGACTGAATCTGCAATAGGTAAGCAGCTTGGTTTGAAGAAATCAACTGTGGGAGCAAATATTAGGAAATGGAAGACATACAAGACCACTGATAATCTCCCTCGATCTGGGGCTCCCCGCAAAATCTCACCCCGTGGGGTCAAAATGATCACAAGAACGGTGAGCAAAAATCCCAGAACCACACGGGGGGACCTAGTGAATGACCTGCAGAGAGCTGGGACCAAAGTAACAAAGCCTACCATCAGTAACGCACTACGCCGCCAGGGACTCAAATCCTGCAGTGCCAGACGTGTCCCCCTGCTTAAGCCAGTACATGTCCAGGCCCGTCTGAAGTTTGCTAGAGTGCATTTGGATGATCCAGAAGAGGATTGGGAGAATGTCATATGGTCAGATAAAACCAAAATATAACTTTTTGGTAAAAACTCAACTCGTCGTGTTTGGAGGACAAAGAATGCTGAGTTGCATCCAAAGAACACCATACCTACTGTGAAGCATGGGGGTGGAAACATCATGCTTTGGGGCTGTTTTTCTGCAAAGGGACCAGGACGACTGATCCGTGTAAAGGAAAGAATGAATGGGGCCATGTATCGTGAGATTTTGAGTGAAAACCTCCTTCCATCAGCAAGGGCATTGAAGATGAAACGTGGCTGGGTCTTTCAGCATAACAATGATCCCAAACACACCGCCCGGGCAACGAAGGAGTGGCTTCGTAAGAAGCATTTCAAGGTCCTGGAGTGGCCTAGCCAGTCTCCAGATCTCAACCCCATAGAAAATCTTTGGAGGGAGTTGAAAGTCCGTGTTGCCCAGTGACAGCCCCAAAACATCACTGCTCTAGAGGAGATCTGCATGGAGGAATGTGCCAAAATACCAGCAACAGTGTGTGAAAACCTTGTGAAGACTTACAGAAAACGTTTGACCTGTGTCATTGCCAACAAAGGGTATATAACAAAGTATTGAGAAACTTTTGTTATTGACCAAATACTTATTTTCCACCATAATTTGCAAATAAATTCATTAAAAATCCTACAATGTGATTTTCAGGAAAAATAATTCTCATTTTGTCTGTCATAGTTGACGTGTACCTATGATGAAAATTACAGGCCTCTCTCATCTTTTTAAGTGGGAGAACTTGCACAATTGGTGGCTGACTAAATACTTTTTTCCCCCACTGTATCACTCTGAAGGGTAGAAAACACTACTAATACTAGGTATAGGGATATCACATGGCACTAGGGATGATATGTGTGTTTGTGTGTGTTGTGTGTTTGTGTGTGTGTCTTTGTGTGTGTGTCTGTGTCTGTGTCTGTATCTCTGTGTGTATGTATTTGTGTGTGTGTGTATGCGTGCGTGTGTGTGTGTGCGCATGTGTCTGTATCTCTCTGTGTGTGTGTGTGTGTGTGCCCGTGTGTGTGTGATTGTCTTAGATAAATGTCACCACCCTGCCTCTATCCTGAATCATGCCTCTGCCATTGACCCGACATAAATTGAAAGACCTGTCTGTGGAATCAATGTGAAATACTGTACCTCTCCTCACCATTATGGCTGCTTCTAATGTCCAATATGGATGCCTTTCCTCACCAATATGGCTGCCTCTCCTGACCGATATAGCTGCTTTTAATGTCCAATATGGCTGCCTCCCCTCACCAATATGGCCACCTTTCCTCACCAATATGGCTGCCTCGCCTCACCAATATGGCCGCCTCTCCTCACCAATATGGCTGCTTCTAATGTCCAATATGGCCGCCTCTCCTCACCAATATTGCCGCCTCTCCTGACGAATAACCTACCGTTCTTTCTCCTCCAGAGGGCCAACTCCAGCACAGAGCTGAGCAACATGCTGCTCCCTCGCCAGGTGTCCAGAGAAGAGCACACATGCAGGGACCGAGCTCTGAGCGCCGCCAGCTATCTCACCGACGCCTTGGAGGGTAAGGGCAAGGGCCTCTGTCCTCTACCATTCGCTTCACTGCCTCATTGAGGGACAAATTGTGTGAGCCCAGGAGCTCCTCTTATCTGCTGTTTACCCCTCTATGAGGCTTGAGGCTGAGGGTGTCCTCAAATGTGCACTGGCCTTGCCTATGGACTAGATAGAGGGTGACTGTGCGGCGGAAGCCACAGTGCAAAGTTACACCAACAGATAAACACATTAGAAGTCATGATCACACATGAGGCCCTACCGCCTCATCCTCAGTGACCTGCCATCAATCTTCATCAAACTCCTCATTACGCATGCATGCACCCAAGCTAGGCCCAACCCACATCTGGCAAAGGCATACTGTGACAACCTTCCTGAACAAAGTGTGTTCTTTTGCCCCCCACCCACCCTCCTAGAACTGGAGGAGTCGCGTCAGAAGTACCACCCCTGCTTGTATGAGTTTGCCCACAAGTACCTGATCTGGGAAAGCAGTCCACGTTGGCTTCAGTTGAAGGCGCTGGTCAAGGTAATGGTGATGGATCCCTTCCTGGACCTAGCCATTACCATCTGCATCGTGCTCAACACCCTGTTCATGGCCATGGAGCACTACCCCATGACTGACGAGTTCAACGGCATGCTGTCCATAGGCAACCTGGTAAGTGGAGAGGAGAGGGCACAAGGGGAACTCTTGGTGATAAATTGTTTTTGTTTTTTTACCCACCATCTTTGTTGGAGGAACACTTAAGTTTAGGGCCTAAAGGTTTACCCCGGTCAGGTGAGTTACTCAGAGAAAAAACAACAACTATTTGCTCCACTATTGTCCTATATTGTCACTGAGATTCACACCCAAACCTAAATGGACCCCAAGCCTCTACCTTTTATGCACTTGTGGAGACCTGAGAGGAAGAGTTAGGTACAAGTAATATGTTAATAGCATCTGATTGGCTGACTGAATTTCAGTGGTGTATAGTACTTAAGTAAAAATACTTAAGTAGTTTTTTGGGGTATCTGTACTTTACTTTACTATTTATATTTTTGACAACTTTTACTTTTACTTCACTACATTCCTAAAGAAAATGATATACTTTTTACCCCATATATTTTCCCTGACACCCAAAAGTACTCATTACATTTTGAATGCTTAGCAGGACAGGAAAATTGCTTAATTCACACACTTATCAAGAGAACATCCCTGGTCATCCCTACTGCCCCTGATCTCCAGACTCACTAAACACATGCTTAATTTGTAAATTATGTCTGAGTGTTGGAGCATGCCCTGGCTATCCGTAAATAAATAAAAAACAAGACAATTATGCCATCTGGTTTGCTTTATATAAGGAATTTGAAATGATTTATACTTTTACTTTTACTTTTGATACTTCAGTATATTTTAAACCAAACTACTTTTACTCAAGTAGTATTTTACTGGCTGACTTTCACTTTTGCTTGAGTCATTTTCTATTAAGGTATCTTTACTTTTACTGAAGTATGACAATTAGGTACTTTTTCCACCCCTGCTGAATTTTCACAGTATCAAACCTCCATAGGGCGTAGGGGCTAAGGTTCCATTTGGGATAAGAACAGTGAAACGGCCTGTTAATCACACATCAATAGACATTATTCACAACAATGAGTTCACAATCACATTATGAAGTCAATATGGTGGTACCATTAATTACAAGTCACTGGAACCAGTTATGCGTGTTTGTATGATATCTGCTGGTTCTCTATAGTGTTGGGTATGGGTCCTGCACTATATAGGGAATAGGGTGCCATTTGGGACATAGTCATGGTGTTGTTGGTGTTATGTAATTGGTTGTGTTGTAGCAGGAGTGGTCCAACAGGGAAGTCAATAGAGCTTTTCCTCCAATTGGCTGGCCACTGTGTGCTACAGTGAACAATCTGGTGTGTGTGTGTGTGTGCGTGCGAGCGTGGGTGGATGGGAGTGCACGTGTGTGTGCACGGCAGATATATGTTGTGTCATCCCTCTCTGGTCCTGCCCATCTTTTAAGCAAGTCATTATCACCTTGGTCACTTCAGTCTGAACTGTCGTGGGGTGGTGGCTGTGTTGGATACATAGAGAGTCTGAACTGTCGTGGGGTGGTGGCTGTGTTGGATACATAGAGAGTCTGAACTGTCATGGGGTGGTGGCTGTGTTGGATACATAGAGAGTCTGAAATGTCGTGGGGTGGTGGCTCTGATGGATACATTTACATTACATTTACGTCATTTAGCCGACACTTATCCAGAGCGACTTACAAATTGGTGCATTCACCCTATAGCCAGTGGGATAACCACTTCACATTTTTTTTTTTTTTTTTTTTTTTTTGTTTTTTATTTTATTATTTTTTTTTTTTGGGGGGGGGGGTAGAAGGATTACTTTATCCTATCCCAGGTATTCCTTAAAGAGGTGGGGTTTCAAATGTCTCCGGAAGGTGGTGAGTGACTCCGCTGTCCTGGCGTCGTGAGGGAGCTTGTTCCACCATTGGGGTGCCAGAGCAGCGAACAGTTTTGACTGGGCTGAGCGGGAACTATGCTTCCGCAGAGGAAGGGGAGCCAGCAGGCCAGAGGTGGATGAACGCAATGCCCTCGTTTGGGTGTAGGGACTGATCAGAGCCTGAAGGTACGGAGGTGCCGTTCCCCTCACAGCTCCATAGGCAAGCACCATGGTCTTGTAACAGATGCGAGCTTCAGTCTTCAGGATACAGCTTCAGCTTCAGGATACATCTAAAGTCATGTGAAAACGTGTTTTTGGAACAATTCACATGTGATCACGTTTTCACATTTGTAGTTTCATGTTATCACATGTTGCTTTACATGTTGTTACATGTTATCACATTAACTTCACATGTGATCACGTGTTTTTGGAACACTTCACGGACATGGCAGTTCCACCAATTAACGATTCCAGCTTTACGCTTATCACAGGAGATATGAATCGTGTGGTCACGATACCGTGACATGCTCAGACCAACACGTCAGCATTACTCAATTGCCATGTCTGCCTGGGCATCCTAAATGCTTACTCATTACTGCTGCTTTGGCCTGACATAAATAATTACCCTGCATAACTTTGGGTTATGTCCCAAATGTCACTATACTCCCGATATAGTGCACTATTTTGACCAGAGTCCTATCAGCCCTGGTCAAAAGTAGTGCACTATACAGGGAATAGGGTGCCATTTGTGACACAGCATTCCATGTAAAAACATTGTAGTTGTTTAAACTAATTATTATTAATTATTACTCAACTTTTCAATTAAAGTGTTACCTGAACTTAAACCATTTTGTTGGCCCAAACTTACAGTAGCTCCAACTTGGCAACAATTCAGTCAACTTAAAATGATGTTTGTTCAACTAGAAATTATTATTTGGGCATCTTCACTAAATAAGGCTGTGGATTCGACGCCGGATTCAAAACATAAAATGTTTCAATTTAAATTATTATATAAAATTCTTGCTACCAATAGAATGTTATTTATATGGGGGATACAATCTTCCCAGCTCTGCAGATTTTGCTGCGAAGAGACAGAATCATTAGATCATTTGTTTTGGTACTGTCCATTTGTAGCTTGTTTTTGGACACAGGTCCAGGAATGGCTAAAGGATTGCAATATTTACCTGGAGGTAACCCTGCAGATAGCACTACTGGGGTGATCTGAAAAGTCATAGTCAATCGATCAATAATACAATAATACTTTTAGCAAAAAAAATATTTTCAATTTACAATCTGTAGAAACAATGAGAATAGAAGGGTTCAGAACTTTTGTAAAGCATCACAGTACAGTTGAAAAATATATGGCAAATAGAAGTCCAATATGGATGGTAAGAGATAAATGGGTGGTGTTGAATGGAGCTGAAGGATGGGACTAATAACAAGATAACTAATGTAAAGCATACTGTGTCCATAAGAAGTATACAGGTTATAGGCTGAGAGCTTTTTGAAAGAGCACAGTTAGAAAGATATGGCATATAGAAGCAAACCGGATGGACATCATGAAAATGATCGGAGAGGTTGAGGATAGACGAAGTTCATGAGTAAAAACAAACAAAATAGAATTATTGTAAAATTGACTATGTCCATAAAATGTATATAGTATGTATAAGCTGGAAGTAGAGGCCTAAGCATTGTTGTTCAATAATTTACTCCAATTAGGGAAGGGGTGGTGGGGTTGGAAGTTTACATAGACTAAGTTGACTGTGCCTTTAAACAGATTGGGAAATTCCAGGAAATGATGTCATGGCTTTAGAAGCTTCTGATAGGCTAATTGACATCATTTCTGTCAATTGGAGGTGTACCTGTGGATGTATTTCAAGGCCTACCTTCAAACTCAGTGCCTCTTTGCTTGACATCATGGGAAAATGAAAAGAAATCAGCCAAGACCTCAGAAATAAATGTCTAGACCTCCACAAGTCTGGTTCATCCTTGGGAGCAATTTCCAAATGCCTGAAGGTACCATGTTCATCTGTACAAACAATAGAACGCAAGTATAAACACCATGGGACCACGCAGCCATCATACCGCTCAGGAAGGAGATGCGTTCTGTCTCCTAGAGATGAACGTACTTTGGTGCGAAAAGTGCAAATCAATCCCAGAACAACAGCAAAGGACCGTGTGAAGATGCTGGAGGAAACAGGTACAAAAGTATCTATATCCACAGTAAAAATGTCCTATATTGACATAACCTGAAAGGCCGCTCAGCAAGGAAGAAGCCACTGCTCCAAAACCGCCATAAAAAAGCAGACTATGGTTTGCAACTGCACATGGGGACAAAGATCGTACTTTTTGGAGAAATGTCCTCTAGTCTGACTAAACAAAAATAGAACTGTTTGGCCATAATGACCATCGTTATGATTGGAGGAAAAAGGGGGAGCTTGCAAGCCGAAGAACAGCATCCCAACCGTGAAGCACGGGGGTGGCAGCATCATGCTGTGGGGGTCCTTTGCTGCAGGAGGGACTGGTGCACTTCACAAAATAGATGGCATCATGAGGAAGGAAAATTATGTGGATAAATTGAAGCAACATCTCAAGACATCAGTCAGGAAGTTTAAGCTTGGTCGCAAATGGGTCTTCCAAATGGACAATGACCCCAAGCATACTTCCAAAGTTGTGGCAAAATGGTTTAAGGACAACCAAGTCAAGGTATTGGAGTGGCCATCACAAAGCCCTGACCTCAATCCTATAGAACATTTGTGGTCAGAACTGAAAACGTGTGTCAGGAGGAATGGGCCAAAATTCACCCAACTTATTGTGGGAAGCTTTTGGAAGGCTACCCGAAATATTTGACCCAAGTTAAACAATTTAAAGGCAATGCTACCAAATACTAATTGAGCGTATGTAAACCTCTGACCCACTGGGAATGTGATGAAAGAAATAAAAGCTGAAATAAATCATTCTCTCTACTATTATTCTGACATTTCTCATTCTTAAAATAAAGTGGTGATCCTAACTGACCTAAGACAGGGACTTTTTACTAGGATTAAATGTCAGGAATTGTGAAAAACTGAGTTTAAATGTAGTTGGCTAAGGTGTGTGTAAACCTCAGACTTCAACGGTATATATATGTATGTATATGTATTTATATGTATGTATGTGTATATGTATGTGTGTGTGTATGTATGTATGTATATGTACAGTGCTGTGAAAAAGTATTTGCCCCCTTTCTAATTTTCTATGCTTTTGCATATTTG